AATAAGTGTATAAATATGTTTACACAGTATAAATAATTTGTCCCCCAAATTAAACCTTGGTTTACATGGTTTGACACTAAAACCATTAAACCTTGTCCGAACCACCATTTTTCATCATAATTCCCCACTAACAGCAACAGAAGGAATGACGTGGAAGTGAGATAGATCAATAACCAGTGGATATAGAAACTTTCCACTGCTACAATTGCAAATGTAGGAAACAAAGAAACACATCAAGTTTGGGTTTTATCTACAATCCTTTATAATTAATATGCTAAGTTTGGGAAACAATTTATCTTAAACACATCAGTAGGTTCACTAACTAAAGACTTCACCCAATCCGTGGTGAGAATTCCAAAAATACCGGATTACTTTAGAAGCGAGGAGTTAGGAGTTTACCAATTGCTGCCAGTAAGAGGAACCAGACTGCCCCAACTCTAGAAATTAAAACCTGGGTACTCCTGAAAACTGTCCACATTGCATCAAGAATTTCTTTGGGGCACACATCTGACCGTGACAGCTCCTTTTACAATCTTTACCCAGGTTGCTATCTCTGAGCGATCTGCATCAGTTCATAACAACAGTGGCAATATTTATAACACATCAGTTGTCTCTGAGGTCATTATGGTTATGCTAGAAGCGTTATCAGAACTATTTATAATTAAACATACTAAAACTCAGTATGGATTGTGTCTCAGCTCAGTATGGTTATATGTCACTCTATGCTAGAACCCTGCTGAGTAGTCTTCAGCTATGTTCATAGAGAACAGTACTAGGAGAAAGTGTTTTGTTCCATTTTCTTTTTGAGAAACCTCTAACTCAAGCAGATGTGTTGATGCTCTCATACATACATATTCCTAATGGACAGGTTTCTCAGCTCATATTACTCTCTGTCCCTAAAACCTTATACTCTAACTCAATTTAGTCTTTCTGCACTGAAGGATCCAAAATGTTACAAGCACACATACACACAAAAGATCAGAAGCATTTTGTTTTAAAATGCTGTTGAAGAGTATAGTTTTCACGTATGTTGAATTTAGATGAATACTAATCGATATGTCAGACACTTCCCATTTTACGACACTAGCCGCCAGAGAATAAAATGTGCTCCCCAGCTCAGCCCTTAAATCAAGCTTTAGGATGACTATCGAAAGGATTCTGATGAAAGTACATGCTTGACAAGCATCTTTAGACTGCCAGACATATACATCAGCTGTAGTTACTTCACCAGTTAACTTCACCCAACTGAATCTAAACTCAGCTTCTGTCCCATGAATTAACATCTATGATACATACATTAGTTTCTCATCGTATTAGTCCATTATGTGGATGATGTAGCTGCACTTCACAGACGTTAAGACAGTTTAAACCATATGGCTAAAAGATCATTGCATCACTACACCTGTACAGAAAAACATGCTCCTGAACGTAGAGCAAGCTCAGCTCAATGCTCTTCCAATTATATTTACTGATACCAGAACAGGTGCCCAGTATAAAATATTTGTAATATATCCATAAGAATGAGAACTGCCTTTAACTAGAAAAACTTGTATCACTAATACTCAAAAGTTAAATGATGGTTGTGTTGAAAACTACACATTTGCCACTGCTCTCAAAGTGGACAGGACTGCTCCACTTCAAGTGCCAACATTCTTTATACGTATATATACTTGTGGCTTCTATAATGATTAATTTTTCCAAATGTAAGAAAAAATTACTAATAGAGTGATTTTCTCATTGTGAAGATATTTATCAAGAAAATCAGTGTACTTTATACAGAAAAGTAGTAAGTTAAGTATTTCTTAGTAGAAAAAAAAAATCTAATCCTACTTTTTTATATCGAAGTGTTTGGACTCTTGTCACATGATTTTTTAGCATAATAAAAAGGTAACGAGATACAAGTAGTATTTAAACTATATTAGTAAAAATAATTTTAACCTAAATTAAGATAGTTGAACTACTCCTTACAATTGTATTTTTGTTATTGTCTGTATATTTATTGCTAACTTAGTTAACACTTTAACATCTTCTGACAAAATCAGATTAATGAGATTGTGCCTTTTGTTCAAGACACACAGCTTTTGACCTCATTGCCAAATGTCAGCCTCATTTGTCAGAAAGACAGAAATCACAAACATATTAAATTTCTACAAATTTCCCCCAAACTGGCAGCTAGATAAATGAAAAAGATCCAGTGCCTCCAGTGTGAGCTCAACAGTTATCTGTTCTGCTTCGCTTGCTGAAAGGCAATCAACACACATGTAGATCCAAACCAGCCATAGGGTATAATTAAGGAAAGTGAAAGGAGATGACTGACAGTGGGAGAGTTTATAGGACATGTGGTAGAAATTAAACACGTTGGCTAAGTGTTGGAAGGAAAAAGACAGAAAGGATGCTGGCGCATGGTGGTATGCTGAGGGGATCTGAGTGTGAACTGGGGCAACGGTGGTGAAAGAGCTGGGTTATTATCTTAGGGATGAGTATACACAACAAAGAAGTCAACAGGAAGCCAGACTTCAGTAGTTCTGCCTTTTTATCCAGTAACAGCTTTATGGTTCCCCTATTCTTCTAAAGGAGAAAAAAAAAACCAAAACAAAACAACCAAAAAACCCAAGAACTTTAAATTTTTAAGCGACATTTAAGTATTTACCAAATAGGTCAAAGCTCCAGCACCACTCCTGAGCAGCAGCAGTCTACTCGTTTGGCTCACAGATACTTTTTTTCTCCCCCGACGTCGCTGATCGCGACAGAGCCGTTTTCGGGGTAGGAACTCAGATGACCTACTTCAGCTTGCCTGCCTGACGCGTTTAGCGCCACTCAGCCGAGAGCGAAAGCTCGCGGGCCGAGCTCGGGGCAGGCGGGCTGGGAGTTAGGGACGTGCGGCCGCAGCAGCCCCTCAGAGGCC